TAGTATTTATGATAAAACATATACAGAAAATATAATTCATAACATTACAACATTTTTTTTCTGAACGGTATCATAAAAACTACTGGTAGCAAACACTTACATAGTAATTCACTGTTATGTTTTAAAACGAAAATGACGCCCTATTGATATTTCAAAAGCGATGACGAACTATTCTAAAGAACGTGTTGTACTTGTTCTATAAAAGTTTTTTTTTAAAGATGCATATTTTACCCGGAGACTGGTCGAAGATGTTTACGATTGCCACAGATAACGTCAGAGTAGAGTAGATGATGTCATTGCGGACTCTTTATTTACGTATGGATTCTTTTAATTCTTATAATCCGTAAAGTATTACGTTCACCTCGAAATCTGCTCTAGAATGCTCTAGAGAACTAAAGGCCTATCTTCTTACTCTGAAGACAATTACATTCTATTGAAAGAAATGATAAACATTACATAATGCGAAACAACCTTATGCGATACACACACTAGCGACAAAATGCAGAATGGCCTTAACTCTTCAGATAAATAAAAGACTAATAATTTAAAACGCCACCCTTACGCAGGAACCGTTTCTACGGTTGAAGCCATGGTACAAATATTTGAATAAAACACTTTGTTTTCACTTTCCCAAAATCAATTTAATAGAATGGTTACACTAATACTCAAAAAGTAATACGCAAATTAGGCTAGGAACCGACTTGCTCTTTTTATTTTATTTCACTTAATATTATTTTGTGGACATTGGTGTTGGTTATACGTTTAGTTTAATAATTAGAAATTCCATTTTATGTATAATTGATAATGTATAAGTGCTTTATGTCCCAATAAATAAAAAAAAGCGTACAAATAGTCATTGTAATAGCACTGGCTAAATGATCAGGTAGGTTGATTCAAAATCTGAAATGATAATTGAAAATTTTCCTCCAAAAGTTGACCAACAACCACAGTGGGATGTTTCTTTGGTGCTAAAAGTACAGAAAGCTAGATAACGTATATACAGAATTGAATTACTGGCTACACGCTTTACCATTAAAGTAATTTTAATACTTTATTTAACTTTTTTATGTGAAAAGTTGTCAAACGACCAGCCCAAGAACATTTATAACAACTGAGAGGTTGCCGTTGCTAACCTTTGATAACCTTTAAAATAAGTGGAAATTGTTTTTCTTACAACACTAAAATTGATTAAAAAGATCTAAGATATAATGCAAGTGCTCAAAACAAACCTAAATTTATTTTTCGTAATTGTGTAATTCTTCAGATCAACTCGTGTCTTGTAAAACTTTGGACGCTTCTTGTCTATTACTATAAAACTTACTGTTATGAATCATCATAATAAGTTATAATAAGTAAGTATCAACTTATTTTAACAATGAGTGTTTGTGAAAAATTGACTATATAAATGTGGATTGATTAAGGGATTGTTTCCGTAGCGTTTCATTACGAAGTTCTTGGACGTACGTTCACCCTTTTGCGCGCATCATTTGAATAAGACAAACGTCCCCGGCCCACCGCTGTCTGTCATTGTACATCTAATAATGGCGCTAATTAATACGACGTTTTGTTTTATATCGCCAAATTAATGGGCGATATAAAACAAAACCCGCTTCGGGGGCTCCCGAGGGGCGCCATTTCCACGGAATTTATGCAAAGGCTCACCCCGATGATGGATAGTTTGATTTACGCGCCACATATTTGTTATGTTTTTAATGGAAATGAGCGGGAGTCGCTCGCGATTTGAGTCGCCTTTGAACGCGACTGGGGCTGTCGTGACTTCAGGTTTCAGAGCGTATATCTGCTCAAATACTTGCCCTTTAGTACCAGATCTTACGACCAAGATTTTGTATGAACCTTTGTGATGCATCGTTTTCGACAAATATTCGACCGTTTTGCTCAATTGGTCCCATTCTGGGACACAAACGATTTAAAGGTTTTGGTTGTCAGCTAGTGTCTGACCTGAGGATATTTTAACTGAGTATTGTTCCCATCCGATGAAATTATATTTACACGTGAGGACTCATCTTTCATCAATTCCAGATTCAATATAAAATACAAATTTTAGGAGAATCAATCAATTTCACGGAATATTTCATTTGGTTTAAATACATACTAACCCCTGATAATATAAAACATTTTTAACTTTATGACAACAGGTACAACAAGAACTTAAATAATGAAGGTTTTATGTTATTGTATTTTATATGTTGCATTACACATATTGTATTATACAATTTTAAACACTTCTTCTTCATATAAAATATTAATTATGCCAAAGCTCATATATCTCCATTTGAAATCTATATATTTAAATGATTACCTATGTAATAAATACATCTATATACAAAACAGTCAAAACCTCATTGGTTGGCAGTCTGTAACAATTTGGAGAAGTGGAAATATTTGCTTCATCCAATATTTGTTAATTTAATTTTGGCAAGAAATGCTGAAATTATAGATTTTTTTATCATATTTATGTTGTTACCTTGTAACTGCAAGTTAACCTCATTAAATTTACTGAATAAATCTGTTAAATAGGCATTGTCTGGTTTGCACTTGACAAAATTCCAAATTCCAAAACACTGTCAAGAAGAGCAACAATTCTCGGCAGACGTAAGCCTTTCTAGAGCCATCATACTTCAGTGTTAAGAAGGTATTGATGAAAGATCTCGTCATTTTCTTCCCACGGCTGTGTGATGCTATCACGTATGCAGCGCATCGCTTTTAATTCGCTTTACTGACAAATTGAGGAGTTTAATGTAATGTTATACTGAGATTTTTGGCAACTAAATGTCAATGGTTAACTTACTGTATTGATAACTACCTCCCCAGGTACATTTCGTTTTAAGTGGCATACAAATCACCCTAGCACCATAGCACCATAGCACGTTGGTTCCCCCATATGTTGCTACTGATATTATATTTGATAAAACGATCGCTTTATCCATGAAAAGTAATCGTTCAAAATATTAAAAACTGATTCGCCTTTAGTGTCCCTTGTCAAAGTTTTCGCATATATTTCTTCGTACTTTTCTTCATTCATAATAAACCGAATATATGCTAATAATATACTTTATTACCATACAAGGTCTTCTCGTCCAGCTGTATAAAGAATTGGGTCGTTTGCGAAAAAATACTCTAGAAGCTTTCACTTCGTAACTCATTACATCAATATGCCTTTGAAGTGTTTAAACATTTGAAGGTTTGTAATACAATTTTTTAAACTTCTTCAACGACTGACAGTAATAACTTTATAGTATATGATTTTCCGGATTTTACTATATGTAGCGAGATATTGTAAGACAATTGCAAATCATTATTATGATCTCTTTGTTACGTCAAAGTGAACATTTTGTCTACTCAGGGTGTCTTCCGTATAAATTTCTTTGAAAGTATTTCAAATCTTTACCTATTTCATCTGAGTGAATTTTTTTCAATTGATCCTTCTGCTTAGAAGGCTTCAAAGCTTCGTTCTTTAAAACTCTTGTAAAAGGCAAATAGGATTTTTTTGTCCGACGAAGAAAGTATGAAGCCAAATTTCAAATAATTAATAGTGTATTGTCTAAATTTCTTTTAAAATTCGGCCATGTTTAATATCAGTTACCTGTAAGCAAATTTAAGCTGTTAGAAATATTTCAATTAGTTATTTTTAGCGATAATGTAAAAGAAATCGTCGGAAATTTGAGTTGAAAAAAGGCGCTAAGCATACGAAAAACAAAATTGCGATGAACTTTTTGTCTGCTTATTAATTTGAAAAGTTGAATTTTGTAGTCAATTAGAATCAGTATTATGTACTTTAAAACACTAAAAATTGTGCATACGTACATAAAGGTCGTACATACTTCGACTTGTTAAAAGTAGCTTTAACTCCTTGTACGGATAAATAAAACCATCGCCTATGCAATTAATTAATAAAGTTACGATTGTAATAATAAGTTGATTTGCAAAATCTCACTAGCGACCCGACATATAAACCTTCCTCTTGAATCAATCTATCTAGTAAAAAAAAACACGTCAAGATACTTTTTGTCATTTTAAAGATCTAAGCATACATAGGGACAGACAGACAGCGCAACGACTTTGATTTATACTATGTAAGAAATACTACTATGTATGTCTCACGGTGGTAGGGCCACGCAGCAGCCTCGGCTGTTGCAGAAACCCGGTGTAAAGTGGAAGTATAATACTTTCGCGTTTCGTCTGGTGAGTGAGGTGGCCGAAGCGCAAAAGGTTGTCAACGCATCTGGGACCCTATGTTGTAGCAGTTAAAATTTTATAAAAAAAAAACATGAACTAACCATTTTGTTTTGTCGTACCCAAACAAAATGACATTGCTAGTTTATACGAGTACCTACTTCTTAAAATATTTTCTTAATAAACGCAACAAATAAACGTGTTTGTTCCTAATTTTGCTACTTATACATTGTTGAATTAAACAAGTCAATGCAAGTCAGTCTTCCTAGTTCATTCGTCTGACAAGAAGGGAAAAGCGCTTCGCCCTCCAGTGGAGCTTCATTAAACAAAATTGTAATCTCTAAACACATTAAACCTGAAGTGTGATTGTGCAAACGAAATCCACACGAAGACCGGTATTGTAGTTGTGAACATCAAAAGCACAAGCAATAGATGGGGAACCAACTTTTCTTGAAAGGCCGGCAACGCATTCGTGGGCCCTCGGGTGTTGCAGGTGTTCATGGGCGGCGGTAATCACTTACCATCAGTGAGCCCCTTTTCTATTAAAAAAAAACAGTCGTTGTGCCAGAAGTAACGTTTATTCACGGTCTAAGCAGGGTCCAAAAATGAGGTGCTATCCGCTAAGTCAGGCAAAAAGGACGCCAGTTAAAACAGAACAAATAGACGCAACCCAACCTGCCGGGCGGCGCTGAAATATAGACCGGTGGCCCGGACAAAGGCCGCCAGTCAATCCCACTATCGCGCTGACTGATTGGCGCCGCAACCCCGTCGTTGGGTAAATAGCCCGGATTCGAATCGCGCGATAAATGATTCACTCTGAGGCGGCCCGTAATAAGCGGATTGATGCTCTTGAGGGCCTGTCATTTGTCTACTTTTGTGACCCGCCCGCCACCGGTCGCTTGAGGGCGAGGTGGTTACACTGTTTTCGTTACTTTGAGTTGTCCGCTATTAATTGTCTGCGGTGTACTTAGCTATTTTTATATGAACCACAATTTCGCAACTACAATTTGAAATAGTTCATATTTTATTAACAAATGCTACCACTGATTGCTCATACGTGCGTTGAATGACAATTAACACTGAGAAAATTTCTCTAGAATTTACTTTTTACGACTTGTTTTGACGTCAACTCGTATCATTGCCGTCATGGTGTAATAGAATCTAAAAATTTTGATTAAAATAATAGTTTTAAGCTATCTCATTGCACTAATAAACTTTAGGAAGAAATTGTCTAGTATTTTTTTTTTAAAGAAGACGATGTTCTCATGATAAGGAAAGGTAGTGAAATTTTAAATCGCTCTATTTGCTAAGTCGCGATAGGCATTTAAAGTTTGTATTTAAAACCAGTACCCATATTTTAAAAGTCAAAAACCTTGACTCTGCTTGAAGCGTACTTGAAGCGCCACAAAGATCAAAAATGCTTACATAGGCCGTTAACCCTCCTTTGCGTCGCACAGTCGGGCAAAAGGGGATCTACAAATATTTTTATGAAACACAACGGAAAAGGATCAAGCAACTACTGAATATATTGGACAATCACCGCATATGGACATCCATAACCACCTTGAAGTTATTCCTTAAAGAAAGTTTTCTTAAAGAGAGATTACCTTACAGATACAACAATGGAGAAAATATTTTTAAAAAAGGCGCGAGAAGAACGTAGCCCCACGGCGAATATTTCCATACCCGGTAGCAGTGCACCTATTTTATGTTACTGTCACCGTAATGAACTATTCCGAAATAAATTCGAAAACAGATCTCTTAGATAGCTGCAGCACTCACCGCATTTAACGCTCCGCTGCCTTCGTCATTTAATGGCGTTCGTCAGTTCGCATTCAGGGCGGAACGCGCCGCCCACACCGGCGTCTGCTGCCGGACGAGAGGTGACGGTGACCATCCGCTACGACCATCCATCATCGGCCGGTCTCGTGTGAATAAACTAGTGCGTTTCGCGATGACGCGTCTCACCGCGAAATGTAGGTCATTTGATATTCGGCATTGGGAATGTATCCTTTTTTTCATGAACAATCTTCGTCTTATTCCTCCTGCCCTTATTCCACGCTAGGTGGGGTCGGCACAACGTGACCTTTCCTTCCACTTCAGCAGTGATCTCAATACTCACCCCTTTCACAGACATATCATTCTTCTCACAACCCATCCGAATCTTCTCAGGCTTCCTCTAGTTTTACTGCCTCGAACCTCATTAATATTCATCATTATTCTTCTCACATGACTTTCCTTCTCATGACTTATCCATACCATAACATCCTTTACATTGAAAATATTCCACAATAATGGAAATGCAGTAGGTAGATATTATAGACTACTTAATACATGTTTTATTAGATCCATCAGATACCAATGACCGTGTAAAAAATTAGCAAGCGAGCAGACGGAGACGGTTCACCTGATGTTAAATAACTACCACCGTCAATAACCTTGCACATGCGTTGAAAACCCTCAAAAAGTGGGGCCCAGCTTTCTCACTCACTAGGCGACTCGCGACTTCCACTCACGCCCATCTTCTGTGAGGCCGTGGTACTTCCCACGAAGAGCCTGCCCATTCCTGCAAAAGCGGAAGCTGTTGCTTGGGCCTACCACAGTACAAGGTGACATTATTGGGATCTGGCTATTGGCTTCGTCGCCAGGTGTCCTGGGTTCGATTTCCACATGGGGCAAGTATTAGTGTGACTCGGGCAAGTACTAGTGTGGATCTGGCTTATTCCCAAGGAGGGTTAACGCAACTAGCGATAACTTCACCTAAGTGGGACAAGCGCCGGAGAAAGCGCATGCGAAACAACTATCTGTCGGTCACACAAATAGTTGTCCCGTGTAGGAATCGAACCCACGACCCCGAAATTAGAATACGTAATCACGTGGAACGCTAAAGACAGTAACATGAAATTCATCAGTTTCAACTAAAGTATTGAAATCCTAAATAGGTCTAAATATTCTCCAGTGATTCCGCTCAGCAAACCACAAAACGTACGTTCAGACGCGTTTCAAATATATTCCGTCTCGGGGCGAGTTCCTTCATGCGCATATGCTCCGCTCGTCAATTACGTATGACGGAAGGACGCTCACGTCCGAAGGTGGCCGGGGGGCGGGAGGGGGGCAAGAACCGCTCCAGATATATCCCCGTCCATCAATCCCCGCTGACAGTGACGGGTTGGAATAACTGCCGCTGGCCGCCTTGCACACCGTACCGCTGCAGGTATGACGCGTTTGATAAATATCTCTGCTGCAACTCGACGCGAACAGATCCTCAGTCGGGTGGCGCGCCCGCTGAGACGGGTTGAAATCCAAGGAGTTCTATTCTCGACCTGGTGATATATGTATATGCAAGATGAATCAACAATTTATCGTCATCACCATCATTTCAGCTCGTTTGAGTCCACTGCTGGACATAGGCCTCCACTGACTACCACGAAACTCGATCCTGAGCCACTGAATCAACAATTGGGGAAGATTTAGTGCAGTGCTAAAATAAGATTCATTATGTAAATTTGTGCACAAAAAAGTATATATAATATTCGGCCTCATCTAATAAGCGGCCCAAAATTTTGAAATTTAAATTCTGGTTGATCCTAATTGGTCACAAAATGGTCAAAAATGGTTAGTATTTTTTTAGCAATTGGTCAATTTTGACACTAACTACAAAGATTTTAAAAATCCAAGGTCGTCAGAAAAATTTTGGCGGCTTAAATTAAGCGGTCACATTTGGTCAATTAATTTTGGTAATTGGTCAATGTTATTTACATATTAATGAGAAAAAATAGAAAAAAATCTTAGTTAACTTTTTGTGTTAAGCACGTCAAAGTAATAATTATGCACAACCAAGCAAAGATCTTAGAAACATATTAAATACACACAATTGGTCTGAAGCTTGCTTTAGTTTTATTAATACCAAAATATATGAGTTGACGTCAATTAGATGCTATTTCCTAACAAATAAAAGCTGACCAATTGCCGGAATACCCTGACCTTTTGCATAGTTGTTGCAACAATGCTTTTTGTCTTTGCAAGCAGTTCACCCGATGAAATTGAGGTGATATGACGGTAGGGACGTGCCCGATATTTTAAACTCTGTATTATTAAACGGTTTTATTTAGCTCGACCCGTACGGAATTTATTTGTTTATTTGGGTAAAAATTAGAAATTGAAATTAAAGCACCTTCCCGTTGTCAGATTGATCTGAAATTTGGTACACACATTTAATTTAGATGACAATACAATATTGTAGTTTTCAGTGCACATAAAATAAAACCGTTTAACTTAAAAGTTTTTAAACGGTTTTATTTCTATACTGTTGACCAATTAATGCATGCCTTTTACCATAATGTGTGTATTTCGTACGAATCTGTGTCGGCGGTTCAGTCATTTCAATGCCTCGAATAAAACCGACGTCGGGCAAGCGGAGTCGGCTTATCGTTGTTTTTCCACGCGCAGCTGTTGTGAAACGCGACACGTCTATTTCGGTCCGCGTATGATTGATATCTGATTGACGCGTGACAAGCGATCGCGGATAGCGAACGGATTTATTCGAGAATAATCTTTTCGATGGAATCCGTTTCTAACGCTTAGAAAATCAGGTGCCGAGTTAGGAATAAAGTGGAGACAAATCAAAGTCGAAGTCAAATTCAAAATGTCTTTATTAAATATAGAAGCATACACTTACTTATTGATAGTCAAAAAACCCTACCACTAAATAAGGCCGTGTATGGGAAATTCCTCACGATTATCCCATCGAAATGGTCTGCGGACAAAAGTTCTGTTCTTTATAATGTTTAAATTATTTATTTAATGTGCTTTGAAGCGCCCAAACTATGGAATTTGATTTAATTAATTAATGCTGCATTTTGTCCTACCCACTTTTTAGCGTTTCGTACACAAAGGGTAAAACGGAGCCCTGTTACTAAGACTTCGCTGTCTATCTGTCTGTTCCGTTCGTCTGTCGCCAGACTTTTCCTCATGAACCGTGATAGTTAAACAGTTGAAATTGTCACATTTATCTAATTTTATGATCAACAGTTTTATTAAAAACTAGCGTCCCGCCCCGGCTTCGTACGGGTGCAATGTATTATACATATAAACCTTCCTCTTGAATCACTCTATTTAGTAAAAAAAAAACCGCATCAAGATCCGTTGTGTAGTTTTAAAGATCTAAGCGTATAGGGACAGACAGACAGCGGGACGACTTTGTTTTATACTATGTTTGTTTCAAGTGACATTTTTTTACCGCAGTCCGTCACTTGTTTTGCCTTCCCGGAACCCCTCCACTAACACTTAAACTTTATGGTGTGGTATTAAAGTTCAAATTGACTTTTAGTTATTATTACGAATCTTTTGTACGGGAATATAGAAAAGTGTTGGTTTTAGACTTTGTCAGGCAATTTTTAAAAATTTTCTCTCCGTAAGAACCATCTTCCTACTTCAAGGAACATTATAAAAAAAGAATTTGCGAAATAGGTCCAGCCGTCCACGCGTGATGACGTGACCAAGGGAAATAGGGATTCATTTTTATATATATAGATATAATCGTTTTATCTATATCATAAAATCAATAATTTAAATCTCTACACTGTACCAGTTTTAAAAGTCGGCTATTTCGTAGATAGAGCCCGATAAGCCCATTCTCTGTAACATCATCAATTTGACATCGATACCGAGGCTATCATCGATTTCCCGCAATCAACGCCGCGCTTAGAAACATCGCTTAGGATCAGCGCGGCAGTTCAATCGCCACGACCGTCCCTACAGAGATGCAGCCCAACGGAAGCGGATTAAATTAGAAACGTCCGTACAGTTGGATTCTCTTTCATCGGCCGCCTAATAAGTGCGTCAACTGTGGTATCAATCAATCAAGGCGAGTGGAGACTCGGACGGGACGTCGCCCGTCGACGCACGGGTCGACAGATGCGTCCAGTGACATACGAATGCCCGATAGCTCCGTGTTTGATTACGGCGTTGAAAAAGTTGAATTTTAGATATATTCACTGTGTCAGTGACGTTGAGTGAAGTATTCGATAAAAGAAGAAACATATTTAATATAAAAAAAAAATATCACAGATGCCTTGAAATTTAAAAGTCGCTTGGAATTGTATTATTGCAAATTGGTTATTTTGTTATAGACTATACCTCGTCTATATCGTTAACTTTCTAACCTTAACGTTAAACATTCTACAAACCAGAGTAATACATACATTTTTAATTATTTAATCGTCATAGAAGCAGCTGCTATGTCTCATGAAGGTAAGAAGTTGACAGTTTTTTATCTCATTTGAAAATTTAAAACTACGAAAGTCTTGCAAAATGTTTAAATCCCCTGCTTACCCTGTAACAGGGAGTAGGCGTTGTAAAAAAGTATTCGCAACAACCAACGGCACATTTCAGTCCTATGACGTACACACAAGTTTAAACAAAAGCATTTCTTCGACGTTTCGCGTAAGCAGCCAGTAGGAAATTCACCAAAAGTTTCCATTATGAAGCAATCGTTCACCCTTTAACCGCACCCATTTAAAACAATATTTATAACCGACTAATTCACAGCGAGCCACTCAATCGATTGGAAGGCTGCCTACCCTTTTGACCGGTGCACCGCGTGGCGGACAGGGTCATTATGGACCTTATGTGTATAGCGGTAAGGGTTACGGGGTGGCGTGCTCAACCCCTGAAATATGAGTGGCACAGTCGCCGCCAACAGTGATTGATGTGCGTTGACTGACGTGTTCACGAATCGGGGTGCGTTTGACTTGGTCCAAGCCACGAGAGATCGCGTTTCGGTCGAAGGTCAACAATTTTCAATGTTGGCTTACTGTAATCATTGTTACAAAAACCATTATAATTCTGGTTTGTTATAAAATGTGGTCCAATTTATTGATTCGCAACACTATAATTTTTTATGTAAAAGGTATCCGTTATTTTAGTTTCAGTTCTACGTGTGGTATGAGATATATTTTGTGGTTTGATCTTAGTCACTTTATTTTATATTAATCTTCATTACTATTTTCTTTTTTTTAACACACGTTTTGTAACTTACGTTTGTATCTACTTAGATAAGTAAATTTTTAATTAGTTCTAACTAAATCATTAACTTTCTTTTACTCTGATATACATTTAGCCTTTTCCTTTTCCTCTATTTTCTGCTGTTATAATGGATAAAATGTATCTATCTATTGAGCTTCACTTAATTGTTATACCAGGAAAAGTCTAGATCTTTATCTAGACTTTTCCTGGTCCAGTTGTGCTATAACAGAGTTGGTGGTTTATTATATAGTCAAGTAGCGAAACGCTTGCGCCTGTGACTCGAACCCAGTCAATAGTTAGAGTATGTTATGAGTAGCGTAAACACACCGACATTGCCGAGTCCACAAGGTGGCCCGGACTTTTTTAACACGATACTCCCGGCGAGGGCCCAATGTTTGGCCTACGTAATGGAGTATCGCACACAAAATCTTTTGTGCGCTTAGGATTGCATGACAGGCGGCCGGTAGTTTTATAATTGTTCAATATAGCCCCATTATGAAATGTTGATAACTCAATGCGATCAATCAAAAACATAACGCAAACTATGTTACTTAATTTCCTTATCGCGATGGTTTTATTTTTTCAATCTTAAATTTTTAAAAGAATTTACATTATTACCGGGTAACACTTTTTGTTGTAAATCGTTCGTACCTACTTATACGATTAACAGAGAAAAATTTTAATGTTCAATTTTTTGTATATTTAAATTCTTAGTAGGAGTAATATTAATAGAGCAAGAAAAATGTCTCAACGTAGCATATCGCTTAGTTACATTCAGACATCTTTTAGGGTTCCGTACCCAAAGGGTGATACGTGACCCTATTACTTAGAATCCGCTGTCTGTCTATCTGTCCGTCTGTCACCAGGCTGTATCTCATGAAAAGTGATAGACAGTTGAAATTTTTCAACAACAAAATACTCCCATACAACAGTACGTACGGAACCCTTCGTGCGCGGGCCTGACTTGCACTTGGTCCGTTTTATATTTTATTAAAGTTAGAAACTGTGTAAATGGATAAAAAATACCCTTTGAAACATAGTCCTAGAGTAGAAAAACTTATCATAAAACAAACAATAGTACAACAAATGAAATAATATGAAATTAAAGTGAAAAAAAATAAAGTAACAGCCTTACATACACTGCTGGGCAACGGCCACCTTTACAAAGGGTAATGGGCATATTCCACCAGGCGACCCCTCTGCGCGGCTTCACATACCTTCGAAATATTTTTTTTGTTATTACTACGAAAATGTGCAGGTTTCCATACGGTGTTTTCCTTCGCCGCAGGGGACGTTATAAATAGGTTCTTAAGATTAACAATTTCATTGGTGACGTCATCGGGATTCGAACACAGGTTGCTAGAATATATAGAACTAGCTGCTGCCCGCGACTACGTCTGCGTAGAATAGGCTGAAGGCATAACATTCAGACAGAAAGACAGATATACATAAAAATATGTAATAAATTATAGCCTATGTCTTATTCTGAAGTATAAGCTATACTATTGTAAAGTTTCATTGAAATCCATTCAGTAGTATACTGAAACTTTAACGTGAAAGAGTAACAAACTAAACTTTTGCGTGAAAGAGTAACAAACACCCATCCATCCATACATACAAACTTTCGCGTTTATAATATTAGTAAGCATTAAAAGCGAGCTCCCGGAGAGTGAGCTATCACGGCTATGTGTGACGTAAGAACAAACAAATAGGACATGACAATTATAATATATTCTTAAAGTTTGATATTTGTAAAGATGTTTTCATATCGATGAGGAGTCACAACTTATGATTACTGATCTTACCCCCATCATCATCATCAACATCCTACTGCCCTTGTCCCATCTAAACAGGGTTGGCACATGTGAATCATGTTGTAAAAGTTTTGCTTGGGTTTTTTACGACTGGCCGCCTGCCGGACGTCAACCCTGTTTGGGAAACAAACACCAAGAACCAGAACAATTGTCTGTGGGTCTGAGGATCACACAAATACTTGTCCCGCGTGGGAATCGAAGCCACCACCCCCCACGCCGAAGCCAATAGCTTAGCAACGGTGCCACCGAGTCATCATTGGACAATAATCGTAACACCAGGATGTACCCGGCATGTGTATAGCCCCCCTTTGAAATAACTGAGAACGACTCCTTGTTTCAGCAAGCTTGTGGTAGCAAGTGGAAAACGAGCATTCGGTTCAGTTGATATTAGGACTAACGTTCTGTTTGAACATCAACACATAGACCTGCCACTACCCACGACTACAGCTCTTCTTTTACGTGAGCGCGTGTAACCCACACGCGCAAACTTCATTATTGGATATACTGTGTGATGAGGATAGTGTTAAATATTCTGGGTGTTTATGTTTAATAATTATTTATTTACAAAAGAGATATATGTTTATGTATGTTTAAAAAGGAATCTAGTACCCTTTAAACAAGTAATGGTGCTTAGTTTGACACTAGATACGTCACTGTGTAAAATCACCAAAAATATTTATTATTGAGACTGGGTCGAGTGGAATTCCTTTCCGATCCTTATGGGCGAAAATATGACTCGAAATATTCATTATTGGGACTGGGCTCGAGGGAGGTACGCAAAAGGATTCCGTTCATCCCTGAGTACCTGTGGTACCTTCACGAATGTGCCGGTTCATCAGACACAGAAGCTGCTAAATGGCTCTACCAATGCTAGTATTAGTTGATAAACTCTTCTACAGCAGAGCAATCACCAATGATAGCATCATCGGGCGTCCTTTGTAGCCGCACCGCACTGCGTGAAACTCTTACCGCGCCCCGTCACATCGTAAGTCCGAACACATGACAACACTTGAGGCATTAATTGCAAGCAAGCTAATCGATTGGCTCCCACGAGTGCTCTGGACAGCGCGCAACGCAGCTGGCGGGGTCGTCCTCGGTCAAGTGCAAGCGGTTTTCGCCTCTATACACACGGTGTATTGTTTATAATAGCCCGAGTTTACGCAAGAGCCGGCGTAGGCGCCAGCGTTGATGGTACACCGTTTTAACGACAGTTTTTGTGGTCGTCGGAACGCCACTTGGGCTTATTAAGCGAGCATCGCACACGGACTGTTACGCCCTTCGTTGGCGATAGATTAGTGTTGACATGTCCGTCATTTATTAAAATTTTGATTTACGTATTTTGACTAACGTATCCAACTAATTTATTGGATACCTTGGGGAAATGAGCCTGTTTTATCCATCAGTTTTATTTTAACCTTAATATAAATTAACCGCGGCTTCAAGGGACAGATAGTGAAGTAGTAGTTTTCTAAATGAAAACAAGAATATTTGTTAACTTTAAATTACAGTACGTTTACTTAATACGAGTTTGCATATTAAAACGAACATTGAATCCATAAATTGAGTTCGTTAACCCAGTACCCAAAGATTTTGTAACTTTTACGAATACTAAATCTGTAAAATTTTCAAAACATTCGGAGCATAACAAATTTTTATTTCTCTAGTATACTTTTATTTACAATACAGCCGCCTTCCTATATAATATCCATTATGTTTGTGCAAACTGTGGTACCGACCACGAATTATGACGGCGCATCCACGCTATTACGTCGCCCGCTATTAGGCCGCAAGATTACTGAGTTGGTGGTTTTGACAATTGATTTATGTCTGTCACGTCTCGTCACGGCGGCGGCGGCGCGCGCGCATCTGCGCCCCCCGCCCCGCCCCCCTCGCCCGCAGCCCCTCGCCCCTCCAGCGGGCCCACCCCCGCGGCTTCTAAGAACAAACAGCGGCCAAAGAGCATGCATATTATAGACTGGGTACACGGTTGATATTCAGTAACTTTTCAACACGTTTCTATTGGTGAATAGTTTACGTATCTTAATTGTACACACTTACATGTGGAAATGCAATGGTTCTTCCATATAAAATTTTATCTACCAACAGATATTTAAATTTTCAATTAATGTTTGTTTTTCATAGGTTAAGAACCGGTTGTAATACACTATTGTATCGTTATAGCCTGACGACATCTTTACCAGTATTAACAGCTCGATTTGTAATTAAATTTAATTCTAAGTTATTGTGACCTAGTTCGCGGTTACCAAGCAAACTCTATTGTTTGTGTTGATTATTTTAATAAATATATTATAAAAATATATTATTTTTATAATTTATATTTATATAAATAATAAATTAAATTGTTATAATAATGTGTATTTTCTTATTCCTATATGTTCCAGTAAAATAAATTTAATCACTGCGAAATCTGGGAATTGTGAACTGATGCTCAGTTGATGCCATGTGATGTTAATGACGAGAAATGGAAGTCAATGCTAATAACAAGATCTTCTATCACGCCCGAGGTACAATTTTCATAATGTTTTCGGTTTTTCGTGTAGCCATTTAAAATTTTGTTAGCAGATTCATTCACACCAGTAGGAAATCTATCTAAACTGTGCAATACACACCAAGCGTGGTGGTAAGAATGCGTGGCCTAAGCTCCTAAGAATCTCATAGGATTTTACTAAGGCTAATTTTTAATAAATCTGTCATCCTATCACCAAGTTCACGGAAACGGCCGCGTGATAGACAAATGTTGATTGCGTCAGTTGGTGATAGATTAGCGATAGACTTCGTGATTAATTATTGTAACTGTTGCTAGCGGCTGATTAGCAAATTTAGCAACTGACTTTGATATCGACAGATTATCTATTAGTAATAAACTCAGTGTTAACAAGCGGGCCGACAAATATGTCAGTGATTGGGTAATTAGTCAAGTGAAAGTCTTACTCAATCAAGTTATGTATTATGAATATACAATACAAGAATAAAGGTGTCTATCCCTGGCACAAGTGTAATGTGACGTGGAGTGATTCTTAAATGTTATGATGAATAAATGAATAGGTAGCTACTTTGTTATTTGGAATGTTAATTATCTTTAGAGGGTTCCAAGGGCGAATACAATGGACTGTACTGAGCTAGATCACATTTCTACAATTGTATTCTGTCCTATTTTATCAGTTAAAAATACCACACACTTGTGTATACATGGTATATTAAACACCTGACCACAGAGTAACTTCAAACGGTGGTTCCGCTAATAACACAAACGCGAAAAGACCGTACCAGCTCTGAATTAGAGCAAGGTACTAACTGTGTAAACGTAGTAGGACCACAATGCAGCTTGTACCGTTGAACGAACGGGAAGAGTCCTCCAGGAAAGCACTAGAAGACGTAGGCGTTTCTTCTTTGAAAGTTGCAAACGCATCTGCCACCCCAATGGTCTAAACAGTTAATCACTTAACACCCGGTGAACCGCTTGACCGATTACCAAATCTTCACATAAAAATCCAGATAATACCGACATTTGGAACATGTGCTCAGCTGAAGCACTCGTGATGTCTGCCATCCGCTGATCACCTCTGCCCATCCTTTAGGCTGAAGCTGCCTGGGTGAATCCAGCAAGGATAGTCGCACTGTGTTACTCCGAGATTCGGCCTCCAAAATGTGTCTTTACTACTCGCTGGACTCGTGCGAAAAGACGACGAACCCTATATCTCTATCGGTGTTGAAGACTTTCATTGTGACACAGAGAGTCTGAACTAACCTCAGATCTATGTTAGAGCTTGGTATGGCCTTAAGCGACTAACGTACGAGTCATAATGGTAATATGGTTCAAGATCAAGAGGACAGATTTAGAAGCTGGCTAAGCTATGACTTACTTCTAACACTGGCAGTTTTCTATCAGAGAAAACGTTGCTTTTACATATTAAATATTAATTTAACTATATTGATTTAATTAAACCCAGGAACCGGCTTATTAAAATGACTGTATTAACAGCATCAATTATGTGATTAATGTAATCGTATCTCAACAATGTGTTGTACAAGGTGCTGACAATAAATATGTCATGTTGATCTACAGTATGCGGTGACTCAATTTCCTTTTAATTATATAATTTATATTATACATTGATAACATGAAAATCGAAAACCGGGGCAAGTGCGAGTCGGATTCGAGCACGATGGGTTCCGAACCATTATCTATAAAAAGGGCGTCACTTAATTTTTTTTATTCTATTTTTTAGTATCTGTTGTTATAGCGGCAACAGAAATATATCATCTGTGAAAATTTCAACTCACAAACTCTCACGGTTCATGAGATACAGCCTGGTGAGTCTTAGTCTTAGTAATAGGACCCCGTTTCACCCTTTGGATACGGAACCCTAAAAAGGTCCATCTCCAACCTAAATTAACTTTCTTCACGATGGGATATAAGTTATTTAACGACGGCAACGCTCGTTAGGAATGCTCCTGAGCGTATAAGAAAGGAGTGCGCCCTCTGATTCGGTTCGGTCTTGCGTTTGACAAATATCTGACACGAAATCTCGGCGATATATCACTCAAACCGAAATAGTCGATGTTTGCGGGAGCGTTTTAGCGAGAAAAGAATCGATCTATTTTCTTCTTAATCGCGCGCAGCTGCTCCTCGTGTCGATTATAAAAACTTGAATGCACTTAGGTTAGGACACTACGCACGAAACGGGAGATTAATTAAAATTTTGAAATTATTCGAAGGTTTTTCACAAAAAGCGATCCGTTGAAAACAAAAAAAATCCCACAACTATTTTCGAATTCAAACCCCTGATACCAATGAACTTGTTAGTTGCAATTTAAGGTGCTGACTTATCGCGTTCTCAGCCGTGAAGTAAAACATAGTGAGGAAACTTGCATATCTTAGAAGCATTAATAAAAAAAAAAATTCAAAGATATGTGAAGACCGCCAATGTGACGTGGGGTCGCGAACTATACCCAAATACCTTTGTACAGTGGAGGCTTAGTTGTTGGCGCACAAATCCACAGCAATGAAATGATTACTGACGTAGTGGATATTGAACCAGTCACTTGTCCTAGTGGTTATGGGTTCGTTCGCCACTACAGCAAAATGTTGTGTGATGAACATAATGTACTTCTTGTATTATGTATTTATTTTTCAAATGGGCAGGTACGGGGTACCACTACCTCAAATAAGACCGGCGTGAAGCGAAGGTGGACTTCTGTGTTTCGTCTGGTGAGTGAAGTAACTGGAGCCCACTTTATTTAAACTTGGCAACCCATCTGCAACCCTGACGGGTGGTTTGTAAATGTCCATGGGCGGCGTTTATCACTAAACATCAGATGACCCGCCAGCACATTTGCTATTCTTGCATAAAAATAGACTTATGTCTAAGAAATAAAACTAAAAGGATTCATTTAAATCCATTCAGTAGTTTTTCCATGGTGCACGTACAACGGCAGACCTCTATCATTTTATTTCTATAGATTAACCTTGTTTTATTACAATGGACTTTCATTTTAATTGGCTCGACGGAAGTTGTATAGGGTCAACATATGAACTAACATAACGACAGGCATGTGGCTAAAAGCCTTTAATAATGTTTTATTTATGAATTTTTGAAACTTACAACTTTAGAAAGAGTACTGTATTAATTTATAACTACTAATAATTAACACTTTCCGCCACTTTTTAATGAAAAATAGACGAAACTACAGACCAACGGATTCTTCTCAGCCCGAAAATTCAGAGTTTCCTTCGGGTTGACTTAGGTAGGTAATCCCAGGTCTTTACGTCCACAGAATATGATCGATGCGTGAGTTAAACTGTCGGCAACAAAATTATTTAAAACAAACGGTGGTAAGGCCACGCAGCAGCCTCGGCTGTTGCACGAATGGGCAGGCCCGTCCGGGTAAGTACCACGACCTCACAGAAGACCGGCGTAAAGCGGAAGTATGACAAATACTTTCGCGTTTCGTCTGGTGAGTGAGGTAGCCGGAGCCCAATTTTCAAAAGGTTGTCAACGCATCTGTAACCCTCGAGTGTAGCAGATGTCCATGGGCGGCGGTATTCACTTAACATCAGGTGAACCGTAAAAAAAAAAAAAAAAAAAAAAACAAAGTTATAGACTTACTGAGCTTCTTGACAATTATCTAGTTCCCTATCTAGAAGGCGATAAAAACATTTTTAAATTTTGTCTGTTTTTATTACATCATATCGTTTTCTATTATTCATTACATGTTACCATTTGCTTTTAATTTTTCAATTCCGTTGAATAGTACTACTTAACATAACTGCTACTATACGTATCCTTATATATTCTTCTATAACAGTAAAATAAAACAAGACAGTTTTCAAAAGAAAGTCAAATCATCAAAGAATTAATATAGTCGGCTATATTCCACGGGTATTATTAAGATTAATGAGGGTCTTCTTTAAGTCTTCTTACCACCTACCACTAGGTTACCGTCCCGAACAGTCAGACCTCGCTTTTCACCGCCGCGTCCGCCCGATTGGTTACGTACACTAATTAACAATCTGTCGCACTGACGGTTGGCAGGTAAATGACGTCGCACGGATAACGCCGACGCGGGGCGACGTCGCACGGATAATGAAATTGTGACATTCACGTCGCGGGGGAGGGGGGGTGGCAGTGTTTGTATAAGGATTTGGGCACACTGTACTCTTTCGTAATGAATTCATTTATTTACGAGGCTACTTGAGTTACGTTCCCTTTTAATGTGGGGGTTTCGCCTAAGCAAATGTGTGTTTTTTATTTTAAGACAACGTGGCACATGGCCAGGTAATGATAGATTATAATGGATGTCTGTCCATAACAACCTTGAAGGTTGCATTGCCAAACTTAGAGGTAACACCTCAGTTTCTTTACTCAGTAGAAACACTGTAAAAATCTTTCTTCTTTTCTGTAAGTCCGTGGTAACTTTATGGACAAGCCTTTCGATTCAAGTAACGCTCTGTGTTTTTTTTTATTTTTTAATGTTAGACGGTGGCAAGCGAGCGAGCGTATTTACTTGTATATATATTGTGCTAGGGCCAAACAGCTGCCTCAGTTTAATATAAAACCTAACAATTGACATTGATCATTGACCCAGATTAATATAGAAAGCACTACACACACTACCATGTATTTGACACACACAGGCAAATAAACTCTTTTGTTTATTGTGTATTGTATTTGAGAATAGATTAATACTGTTCAAAATATAATTTAAATGAATTATGGTCGAATTTCGACCACTCGGCGTCCACTAGTATGACATAAATATCTGTATCATTTTAACATATTATGGGTTAGTCGATAACACTGTCTAGAAAAAATGTTTAATAGAATTATTCGCAGAATTTATCCGAACGGTACTTATCATTGATTTTATTTACAGATCAAAACTCTCAGTTCGTAGAGAAATAGACTGATTTCTAAATTTTTGTAAGTCAGCGAGAGCTCAGATATTACAAACTGAACGTTGCTTCATAATGTTGTGACAGATTTATTGTTCATTAATTTTAAACAACGGAATAATTAAATGTCAGAGCCGTCATAGCCCGGTGTACGCTTTTAAATTCACACATGAGCTACCTTACTTCTAATCCCTGGATCTACATCAACTTTGAGTATGGAAGATGTAACAAACTTTAATAGGCATTTGCTCACAAGTGATATAATATAAAATTATGTATAAAAGTAATAACAGTAGTGTTAAAGTTTCACAATAAAACATTACTAGTGTTTCTCACCCCAGAGGTCGAAATTCGACCATAATTAATTATACACGGTAGTGTGTGTAATGTCTTTTATTGATTTAATGTATTTTTTATGCATAATTAAAAAAAATATTAGCATTCTGCACTTCTCTATATTAACTATAAGTGTGGGAAATTTCAACTCCTCCGTCCACGCAATTTTCGTAAAAAAAAAGTTTTTGCATCACGTATTAATATAAGTATATATATAATAAATATATATATATAATTAATAGTAAATAATAAATATATATATAATTTTTTAAATTACTCTTAATAGATTTTTTTTAAAATATCACAAGCCCTGCCTAAAATATTAACTTAAACGGAAAACCAACAAACGACAACGTTACAAAACTATGAAATCTTAAGTCACTGCGATTGTCACTTCACTTCAAAAATCTAAGTCACGTTCAAATTTAGAGTGCTTCCAAAAAAAAACAAACCTACAATCACGTCGGTTTGCTCGAAAAGAGTCACGTTCGAATTTGGAATTATTTCACAGAGAAAAAAAAATAGGAACAACACGCTTCGGTTACGTTTATTCATCAGTGTCTCCGCTGCAACGGGCGTTCACATACGTCGGCCGCGCGTCAATTTTTCACTCGCAAAATCGACAAAACTATCGGACGCACATTTCACGAGATCTCGTCCCCGCGTCGAATACGACGCCCACGGTCATTATACAGTCCCGTATCTGCGAAACTGCGGCGATAAATCAATTTTTATAGAAATCCACGAAAACACAAAGCCGCCGGTCCGTGCCACGGCTGCGGGGATTTGCATTAGTGATTACATTAATCATCTCCACACACAATCGAAGCAATAAAGTC